AGAGGTTGCATGTTCCATCTCCGTGATCAAACTCCACACTGATACACACAAAGAGAGTCTCTGTCTTGCATGTGGCAATGCACGCCTGCATTGTAGACGTTGTGGGCTCCTTGGTGTTACATCCATATATTCCAGAATCCTTGTAAGTACTGATTTCACTGCCGTATGCATTGCAACCTGAAATACAACCAAACAATGGAAGGTAATGATTATATGGCGACGGTAATATTTGCACCATTCTGACTATCCATGTTATTTTTTATTTAACATGATCTCAGTCGGCAGTGAGTGTCAATTTTACCTCGCATCGCCATATAGCGACAATATGAGCCAAGTTTGTACATACACACAAGCTCATCACAAATACCAAGTCATATCGAAAAGCACCCGTGAAGATCTAGGTTAGAATTGATCTTCAGTAACCCATGCTTGTCGTAAGAGGCGACTAACGGGATCGGGTTGTCAGTCTCGCTGACTTTGTTGACCATCATGTCATCGTGATTGATGCTCATGATGTTGATCACTGGATTGCCTGCTCCAGACTCCATTATTTTTTAGACCGCTGTCATTTTGCAGGAACTACTCGATTACTTACAGACAGCCGCCATATAGCTGGATTATTGTTGTGGGCGGTGTAAAACTAAACTTACTCACTCACTCATATCCAAAAGCAAAGTTGCCAATCAAACATTCGCATAAAAGTGATTATTATGTGAAATTTGTTTGAAACAGGAACCAAAAACCAAACCTAGTCGACATCACTTGGAATCATGGTGTGATGATTTGACTCCGTTTGAAATGTGTTAAAAATACTCACGAATCAGGCAGTCACCAGTCGTGACGTCATCGCTGGTTCCCGTCAAGCATCCACACACGCCGTCTACGCATGTTGAGTTTCCGAAGGCGCAATCTGATAACGTCACACACTTCATCCCAAACGACGGACCTTCAAGAAAAGTATGTGATATTTCAGCCAACACTACTTTCAAGAACATTATATCGTATATAAGTGAGTGAGTGAGTTAATATTAAGTGTCACATCGGCAATATTTCAGCCAATTCGTAACGAGAACAAGTTAATATATATCAATATTAAAATCCATAAATTTAAAACATTAAAACCTGCCATCGAAGGACAAAATAAATACTAAAGCATATAAATATTATATTATATAGAGATATAAAACTAGAACGCCATCATAAAATTAAATCAGTATAGACAGACTGAGTACAAAATAAACGGGCTATACATCACTAACAACTGAAGGGAGATCACCATACTAGGGTCCATTAGGGCTTACAGTACTTTTGCTACCTGCATGGACCCTAGCTGGATTTGCACCATCCCTTCAGCTGCTGGCGTTTATGCTGCATTTTAGCCATTTGCCATATGCTGCAAATATAACAAATATACTACGATTAAAAGTTTAAAACCTGTAAACGAAGGACAGTAAGAAATCACAGACAGAAATTTAAAACTAGTAATTTAATCTAAAACATTTTATCTATACCTGACAATACAATATAAAATCAGGCTACAGATTGCCAATAACTGAAGGTTGATCACCATACTAGGGACCCAAACCAATCAGAATACGTGTAAGGACAAACAAACATGGCGATGTCAAATGACGATGGAGTCGGAGTAAATCCTGCTAAACTGGAGAAACAAGTAGGATGATTGTGTTTTTAGATCAACTTGAGATATATACACTTCGAAACAATTGCCAAGGAACATATGCCAAATAGGATCACTTCCCCTAGGGACCGTTCAAAATTTATGGCTTTTTTGGGGGGGGATGATGATTTTAAGGGGTCACCCATTTTGTTCTGGGCAGGTAGGGGGATCATCAATTTTGTACACATGTTTCTAGGGGGTCATCAATTTTGTACATGAAAATATTTTAAAATGATGCTTTAAAAATATGGAAAGGGGGAGGGGGGGTCATTGACTTTGTACATGACATACAGGGGGGTCACTAGTCTGTCGTACAGACCCTGAAGCAAATATATCCAAGAAAGCCACGCAAGTCTAGAAAATGTGGCAAGCCTAGATTTCCTCAGCTTCAGGAACTTTTTTCAGTAAAATATGTTCATTTCAGAGACTAGTTGTTAGTCTAGGGGGTCACTTACTTTGTACATAAATTTTAGGGGGGTCATTCACATTGTACATGCATCTCCATAAAAATCATCATCATCCCCCGGTACCATACATTATGCACGGTCCCTTATCTCTGCTGGTTCACCTCTTTAGCTTGGTTCCTTTGTCACAGTTGTATTTAGCTGAAATAATTCCTGAAATGTTACTTATGTCGCGATCGCTGTGTGTACTTGTTGGTTAAACGGGTGGTGATACCCCAATGTTGTTCTGTTAATATTTGAAAATGCCCCCTAACGGATGTGTAAGCGATAAGCAGTTTCCTTCCGGAAATCCCCAAATACTGCAGCTGACCCCCAAACACTCTGCACGCACTACAAAGCGTCATGGCAGGGCAGGTGGACGGACTCAAGACAAACGTGATGCCTCCCAGACTCCAAGAAGGTGGGAGTAGCTTCATTTGGATAAAGGGCAATTACACTCGTGACTGGTCAGATGGACTCGCTTGAAAGGCAGGTAGAGGCAAACTGTTTTTTGCTATCTTGTCAATCTGTAGTCATGACACTGTCAAGAAATAAAATGTTTGTTTTTTTACAATTCCCCGACGTATGACGTAATATTTCTAAACACACGCATTTCACGGAAATTTGCTATGTTCTGGTAAGGTTTCTGGGAGATAAGAAGCGATTGTGACGAGACAATTTAAGTGAGTGAGTGAGTTAAAAGTGAGTGAGTGGCAATATTTCAGCCATATCGTGACTAAATCAAGTTATAGATTAATATATATTAGAGGTAAATTATAAAAATATGTCAACGAAGGACAGTAAAACAACTAGATTATCACAGGTAGAAATTTAAAACTAGTAACTAAATCTAAAACATTTACCTATACACGACAATACAATATAAAAGCAGGCTATAGATTGCCAACAACTGAAGGTAGATCACCATTCTAGGGACCATGGGGACTTACAATACATTTACTTCCTGCAAGGGCCCTAGTTGGATTTACATCATCCCTACAGCTGTTAGCAATTTAGATGTAACTAGCCATACATTAAAACTACACATTTGCTACGATTAAAAAAGTGGAGAGTTTAATTTTACTTTGAATGTTTCGGGACTCTCAGGAGGACAATAAGTTTACAATATTTCAACCCCCTTTGAGGGTACAACCACTAACAATCTCAGTTACTAATCTAAACTACCAATAATAAAATATCTATCTATTTACAAACCGTTTATCATCAAAATGCATCTAATAATTCTATTTCTTTGAAAAATTCAAAAAATTAAATGATAGTTAACACTAAAAAGATCCTTCACTATTTTAACAATGAAATATTTATCCCTTGTGATGAAAAAATGTATACAGTCAAGCAGGACATGCTTGACCGTGATTCTTTCATCACAAGGGATGCAAAACGGAGAGACAATTTAAGAATGATATTATATGATAAAGAGGTTATCAGGCTGGCAAGATAAGTTTAATAGCCAGAAGCTATGAAAGAGTCAGAAAAGATTATATATTGTTTATATTTTGGGTGTGTATGAATATATATAAAGCTGTGAATAAACCATTGCCTCAGATGTGAAAATGGAGTTGTCGTCTGGTAATCTTGAAGATATTGTTTTGTTTTTAAATATAGAGACACAAGCCACTGCGCCACCAACTTTGAATCCATCTGTAAATTAGGATTTGTATTTACTAGATTTACTTTTTAATTGACTAAATTCTTGTTTATACTGAAATTCATTAGTTTCGGATTTTTAAATGCTGTGGCATCACTAATTGCTAAGGATGAGAAGAATGCATGCGGGAGGAGATATATTTTGCAGCTCAATGCCAGAAGCAGAAAGGAATTGTATAATGCGTGTTCCAAGAGGCGGAATAAGTGAAGATTTTGTAATATAGATCCTCGTAGAGAGGATTAAAAACAGAGTTGTATGCAGGATTGGAAGATACTGCAAGGAGAGTTTGATAGTGCAATCTGAGAAGGATCATCGGCCTCGACAGTAGGCCTTGGCGATGGACAAAATCTAATAGTTTAAGGTTGCATTTGCAGGTTCCGCCATGTGCAATGGAACCGTAATCTATATGAGTGACGGAAGGTCTTTAAGTCACCTCCCCAATAAGAATTTGAAACGACTTTTAACTGATATGCCTTCAGGCAGGTAGCTTTAAGGGATTTAGTATGTGGCATTTTAAAATTTTATTGAGACAGATTTGTTTACAACTGCCTCTCTATTGCGTATTTTTACCTCTACAATAATCATTAATATCATCCACACCCTGATCCTGGGACACCCTGGTCCTGATTAAAGTGATCAGATAGGGCTCAGCCCACTCGGAATTGCCTGTCTGTTAAATATAAAAATAGGCAAACAACCCCTCAAAACAAAATCACGTAAAGCCAGGTTGTATCATAAATCAAAGATCAAAGAAAATTGATACTGCATGTTGTTTAGTTACTATTGCATTTTAAAGCAAGGATTCCAATCGTACCTCATGATCAACAGTACTTCAGTTTTTTTTCTGGACACCACAGTGTATATTTTTTATTGGCAATGTCAGCCCCAGCTATCAATAAATTATCACCATCCTTCAGATGGGGAACAGTAGATTTTGAACCTTTGCTCTTTATCCTTTTTATCATACCCCCACTTTTGAAATCGATGTGAGGGATATATTTTGGAAACATAATTTCTCCAAGGCTGACGCTTATTCTGTTTAAATGCGCGTCGAGACTTTGCACTTAAAATTTTAACTTTATTCAAATTATGTATGGTAGGATAAATTGTATGTATTTCAGGCATAAATTGCCGGCTTGAATGGCAATCGTTCGCTTGTTTTCTGAACACAGCAGGTGTGGCTGCCAGGTATGGTATCGAGGGCAGAATATGTTCCAGTAGCTGGATATAGACAAGTGGTAGAGTCATCGTTATGTATACATGTGGTATTATCTGAAATAAATTTCTCGAGGTCTTTACCTTTATTATTGCGTCCGCCCGGAGAGCGGAGGGTCGCGGGTTCGATCCCCGACCGCGTCATACCAAAAGACGTTAAAATATGGTACTTGTTGGTCTCTGCCTGGCGCTCGGCATTAATGGGTACAACAAGGACTGGTCGGCTCGGAGTCAGTATAATGTGTCTGAGTGGGGTATTCATGCTTCACTGCGGCGTGGTATCTCAGTGGGCTAGCACTATAAAACCAGCTTCATTCTGGGCTAGTACAATCAGCCGCACATACACATACACACGCATGCACGTCGTCATATGAGCGAAATATTCACAAGCACCACGTTAAACCTAATTTCCCCTCACCTAACCTCACCTTTATTATTAGTATGAACACTTCCCCAAAGCAGGTTGTGTCCGTTTAGATCCTCTATGAAAATACATGGCTTTGGATGATTTTGCAAATCTGACAGTCGGATGTCAGAAGAAGGAGGGATATACAAGCTGCACAGCGTCACGGCAATATGCAGAGTCAGACGAACAACTGCAGTTTGGAGTGAGTGAGTGAGGTTAAATTTACAGTCACATCGGCAATATTTCAGCCATATCGTGATTAAAACAACCTTCAAATTGACCATAAATGCATGTAAATGATAAAAACCTGTCAACGAAGGACAGTAAAACCAATTAGAATATCACGGTATCAAGAATTAAAACTAACATCTCTCTCTAAAATTGGATTTCAAATTAGGACAACACAGTATAAAAATGGCCAATAGATCGCCAACAACTGAAGGTAGATCACCATACCAGGGACCATGGGGACTTACAGGGCCTTTGCTACCTGCATGGACCCTAGTCGGGTTTACTCCATCCCTGCAGATGTTAGCGATTGTAGAATAAGTTAAGTTAAAATAACATATATCCTACAATTAAATAATGTGGTATGTTTAAAGTTTCCTTAAATGGTTTGGGAGTTGGGACTTACGCATCTTCTCAGGGGGACAAGTTGCAGACCCAAACCTAAACAGGGCCCGGAAGTAGGTCACGGCACTTCGCGAGACATTAGTACTTCCGGTGACAAACAACGTTTCATAATTGGCATTAAGAAGGACAGGGCTATGTATAATACCCTGTGGTATCCAAACTGAAAGCACCTCCGGTTGCTTTATCTTCTGCAGAGGAGAAAGAATGATAATCACTGTACCGTCTTAAATTAAACTTATCTGTATCTTTGAATCTCTTGAAGACATAATGCAGATGGTTGGAAATCTTGTATAGTAATTGTACCTCGTTGAAATTATTTTTGAGTTCTCTGTTATTTCATTGCATAATAGAGGACAATTGAGTCATGGAGGCTAAGTCGGAGATGTTCATGCGAATGTGAGGAGGATAAGCTCCTCCGCCCGTCCCGTGTGGACAGTCATCTCCATATCTAGAGGTTCAAATGGGTTTTCCGTTGGAACCTCAGGTGTTGGGACAGTAAGTTGTTTCTTTCTACTTATTTTCCCCCCTTTCTTCTTTTGTTATTGATCACTGACTGGATTTGATGTAGATGACTCTGATGGTATATCAGTTCGAATTTCTTCTTTCTGGACGAGACGTAGACCGAGTGACTGGTGAAGTAGGTCGAGTAGATTTAGTGGCTAGTGTTATAGGTTTTTCTGACTTGACCAAGTGAAGTCAGTCTGACAAGCAATAGAAGACATAGCTACAGTGCGGATGACTGCAGTGGAAAATGTAATATTCAGAGGAGCTGAGGACTGATTTGTAAAGAGTTCTTTTGGATCAACTGTAATAGAAAGTTTAAGAATCTCAATTTTTCTCGCCACTAGAAAGTTATGCCATCATGTGATAAAATACAATATTCTCAGTTGAACAGCCTTTCTAAAATATTTGAATGAAATGTAGTCAATAAAACAAAGTGACTCAGAATGCAGTATAACCAGAGTGCTTTGGTCACTACCTCAGGTGGCCAAATTCAGCCATCCCATTACTTTACAGTATTTTCTTACAGACATATATATGGAAAATTAACTTTTACGGGTATGGAAAGAATGGGGGGAAACACGTGCAAAGTATTAGTCAGCTGAGATTATCCTTCAAAAACATCACATGTACAACAATCACTTATCATTATGTGCAACCAAAGCATTATAAAAAGGCCATATTTCCAGACAGCATAACATCACCTTTGGCCGGAGTTCCAAATAATTTGACACCGAAAGCCTGTCAGTTAACTCAAAGGAAATATCCCTTGTGTTTTAATATGACGCCTTAATCATAGTCACAATGAAGTGTAGGTTGCCATGCATTTTCTAGTCTGTCTCACAGTCCCTGAACCACATTATTTTCCTTACTGCTTAGTCTGTCTCACAGTCCCTGAACCACATTATTTTCCCCACTGCCAAGCCCTCTCTGCAATGCTAAAGCCTTAAATGAAGTAAGTCTAGATCTCCTCAGGTCCAGGGTCTGTTAACATCTGCAAGAAACCTAACACACTTTAGGGGTCGGGTTACAAATTAACATATCTAACTGCCATGGCTGTCCGGACTGAATCTCTGGTCTCCCTGGGTATCCTTTTCATTTTAAATGGGTTTGTTTGTTACTATCAAAATTATATATATTCAGAGACAAGGCGTTAGTCTATGTATTTTCCAATATGATGGGAATACTAATATTTACCAAATAAAATTCAAAAGGAGACTTTCTTCAAGCAGTGACTTAACGCCATACATAGCTAGACTTGCTTAGATAAATGACTTCATATAAGGTATCATAGATATTTCACAAACATGGTACAGGAACGTTAGCCTCATTAGCTTATTGCCTCACCACTTGTGAATTAAACGTTGGCAGATGTAAATGTTACTGGAGAAGTTGGTCCCGCCAGCTGTGGGTGTTTGGTATGGCACTCTATAACCCGAACCCTGCTGTGAGTTTTCCTGGAGACGGAAGGGGAAACAATATCGTTCTGTGACTGTGATACAGACTGGGACAAGATGTGGAAAACCAAAAATGTGGACAACAAACCATTGTTTGGGTCTTTTAATTGTAAAAATGATTCAAATAGCTTAACCTAGATTCCGAGGTAAGACTTCCGTCCGCATCCCCCCTAAATTTTAACGATGAGGAAGACTTTCTTTGAGTGGCATTTTTAGAAGTAGAATATGTCTTTCAGTATGTTCAGATACAATTAACAAAACACGTTAAAAACCCATCCTTATCAGATGAGGAATATATATTCAGGTGATATGATTTGACTAGAATGAAATGTAAGGGGGGATACAGGCGGAAGTCTTTCCCTGTGATGATTCACATATAATCATGACTGTAACAAAACATCCACATACATGTCGATGGAAAAACAAATCATCACTGAAAGTTATGATATGAAGAATAACCTGTTTACTGTACATGGTAATGCTTTAATCAAAGAATACTGTAGTCAATATGATTCATAGAGGGATTTCCACTTTACAAATGGAACGTGTTGTAGGTATTTTTGGCAAAAATGAGAAGAAAATTTATTTTTTAGCAAAGATCATTTGTAAGCTCAAGCTGTTATTTATAATGGTAGCTACGCCCCTGTTTGCATGTGTTGTTGACGCGGCATGGACGCCTTGTAACATCACTATTTGATTATGATTTACAAACACATGCCCGTGATATGGTCGGAATCGTGCCAAGGATTAGCAGATATTTATCATGAAAACAGTTTTTTATGTAGGTGGCTTGAAACTCGCTTTTACAAAGGCCTATAGGTTCGATCACAATACATTTTGTTTTACAGCTTCTATTTTCTTAACATGCTCACGTCAAAACCGGGATTTAAATTCTAATCGCAGAATTAAGAATAACACAATAAATAGTATGCCGAATTATCGTTACCATGACAACCCTGTGACATGTCACCTTATGTAAGAGAGTAATGCAGATGATACTGTGGGCCGTACATTTATATAAGCTGCTTCATCGCTATTAATAATCACTGGGTATCTATACAATTATATGTGTGATCAAAGGCCATATGATAGATTATATGGTCTCTGGTGTGATGGAGGAGAACTTGCGTCGCTAGTTTTCTCGAAAATCTGAACACATGTATGTAGCGTGAAACCGGCAGATACCTTTAGAAGAAAGTGTTTGTCCCACCTGTAACAACGATGTCCCGTGTCTATAAAAGGGATATAATGTGGGGATGAATGACATGTACTTTTATCTTGGCCCGTTTATGATGATACATACTGCGATCTTTCACAATAATCCCTCTGGCTATCAGATTGAGGGTACGTTTTAAACATAACCGGCATTTCTATTATTGTATTTATAAAGTTCTTCGAACGTTCTCCATATACGTCCGTCAGATACATCGCGTCAGATACTACCCTTTTTCTTTTGATCTTCTCAAACGACTGTTACAAGTTCGAAGAATCCTGGTCAAAGAAGAAAGTCTTAAGATTATTCCCTACAATTCTGTAACTTACACATTGTACTCTAAATGGGTAGAACTTCCGTTATCAGAAGGACAACGATACAGTTATCTCCAATGTTGTAGAAAGCACTCCACCTACTTAGGAAAACAATATCCAACTGAGATATTGTATTCATGTCGGAACGATATTGTCAGCCCCTGTCAGATCTGAACTTGAACATGCGAGGTCTGCGTCAGACTAAAGGCCTACAAGATGTTTAGCAACACTGGGGCGTAATAGACCTTCTCCAAACAAGGGAATATATATCTTGTGAGAATGACTTCTCCGTCAGGGAAATTTACAGCAATGCGACATCACAATTACTTCCGTGATATTTACTCGCAATCTGAGTTTATGGATCGTCAATTTAAACAGGACAATCAAGACGAATTTCTCAAAAGGCACGGAGATCCAACATGCCTATGATATACTCAGAGAACGCACCCGCCTGTGATATCCGGTCATAATCGCTACACGATAAAAACAATTTTTCATTTCATGTCTCACAGAATATATAATTTGATATGCATTGTTTGTTATCGTATACTTTTGCGTTAGTGAAGCAAATGTGGACAACTTTAAAGTTTATGTATGGCGTTATTACAGCAAAGGCTGAGCGAATGGAGAAATAACATTGTTCAGGCATTGTGAGACTATTAAGGAAGGTCACATGCAGAGCAATAATATTCCAATTATGAACTGTCAAAAGAACGTTACAGTAGTGATGCGCGAGCTGAACAGACTTAAGAAATTACGAGTTGGTACGTGTGGTGTATTTGGCTGTGATCCAAGAGAGATAAAGAGCTATTTTATTGGGACAGCTTGGGACACTTGCGAGGACAAAGGGGCAACGCATCGCCCTTTGTTCACCACTGAACCTTTAAATCCCTCGAAACATGCACCTCACAAGATTTGCCAACACCACAGACAAGGCGTAACTGATACTGGTAGTAAGAGCGAGTGCAGCTTAATAAGGCGTGTTAGCTTGAGTAATACTGCTTTCTTTGTCAGGCTATTTTGGTGATAAGAATATTGAGGTCATGTGAACGTTGATTTCAAACGTACTAAAATGTGTGAAAATGAAATTACATGAACCAAGTAATTCACATGATGGAAACATATGATCATCTTGCTTGAGGACGGGTAACATGAAGGTGTATGAACCGTTCATATACATACCCCTGGAATCTGGTATGATGCATAAATATCTAAGGTGTGTAAATATTTGCAAATTTGAAAATTTACATGTGTTTCCCCACCTAATTAAATTCACATGTTTCCAACCCGAGTAAACTTAGAACAAAATCGGAAATTTCAGCACCCATTGAAATTCAAAGGAATGCATTGGAAATACTGTATGGTCATGTATTTACCTGGGTATCTGTTTTGCAATTCATGTTTGGAAATCATTGACAATCCGGTCAGGGCATACATGAACGAGGTGCTTGTGCATACGAAAATGTACGATGAGCATATGTTTCAAAGGTATAGATTCATATGAAATATGCCCTAAGTTAGGAAATATCTGAAGACATACGTAAATCCGGTCATGGCATGTATTTCCTACTGTATTTACGTTTATTTCAATGGTTTACTATCCGGGTTTTGGTCCTGTGATATCTGTAGGACCTACATCCGTGGTCCTCTGAACACCTTCGGCTGCAAAATCCTGCGATCTCAACATGAAGGAGTGTAGCGAGCTGGAAGTCTGTAACGGCCTTCTCGTCGAATTCAGAGAGACGATAATCTTTACATTGAGTGCATAAACAATCAACGCCTTTGAATTTGAGCAGTAACCAAATAATAAAAACACCGTATTTAACTTTTGAACACATATCAGTCCTCCTATCTTCTTGCACAAACGTACAGAGCTAACTTCAAGCGATCCTGTCGACTGGCGGATTTATGCTTTTATCACCAAACCTGTTTAACCATGGTTTGCTTCAAACTGGATTAAAAATACGAGAATATCGATTAGTGTCACTTCGTCCGCTTAAACTTCTTAACATTTCTCAAGTTAACCCTTTGTTTCGAAAGCCGTCTTCCTACTCCATCTTTTAACTTCAGTAACTGGCACTAAAAGTTAGCTGTCTCTTTGCAACAAACACAAACTCTTCAATATTTAACAAGCACTATCTGAAGGTTTTCGTGTCAGCAATACTGCTGCATGTGAGTCTTTTAAACTATATATTGGGAGTGGTTGTTCATTCTATGGGAACAGCCACATGCAGCTCGCACAAATTGACAGACATGCAATAAACATTGCCATTGATTGAACCGACACACAACAGGTTGAGAAGAGACTAATGGCCCTTTCCTTAAGAACCAGCGAGCCTCTCAAATCACATAAGGACTGACAGCGCCGTGTTGTTCAACTTTCGATCGTCATACCATATACGAAGGGTTTAAGTGCAATTTGTATCGTGAAAGAGTTTTTCCTCTGTTTTTCTGGAATGGCTGTTAACAGAATTAACATTTTCGTGTCCTAAAAACCATGGGTAACGGCATTGTGTTATACGCAGTAATAATGTCAGCAGAAAGTAAGAGTGTGAGTTTAGTTTTGGCAATATTCCAGCAATATCATGGTGGGGGAAACCAGATATCGGCTTCAGACATTTTATCCAGGTGGGGAATCGAGTCTTCGACGTGACGAGCGAACGCTTTAAAAATAACCACTAGGCTACCCCACCAGAATTATATTCGAAGTTTGATATAGGAATAAACTTGTAATATGGAGGAACAGTAACTTATTGCCATTTTTTTTATTTTGCCAAATGTTATTTCCTCATACAAAATGGTGGATGTGTATTTTAGCTATACTAACATAGCATTATTAGACTATTCGTTTGTTTGCTTGTTTATTAAATGTTAAAGGTCATATTCCAGCAAAATGACAGCGGTCTATAAATAATGGAGTCTGGACCAGACAATCCTGTGATATTGATTTACACAGTTGGGATAAGATGCCATGCATCAACCAAGTGAGCGAGCTTGACCACCCAACCCCGTTAGTTGCCGAATGACGGATGAGTTACCCAAAGAAAGATTGTTCTGTGAATCAATTTGTTTCAGCTAAAGACACAGACCCCCAAATGATCTGGACAGTTTATCCCCAATATAATATTTGTTAATATTACTTCGAATACTTTCCAAAAGACGTTATGTATGAAACATGTTTATTATCATTTTATTTATGTTCCATCATATGCATATCACACTCATCTAACCTTCAACTTGTTTCCGAATTTCATCCAAAGATAAGAAGCGCTTCAGCCTTGCTAACCCAACTGTCACAAGAATGTTCTTTGTAGTATGATGGCGTAAGAAACTGTTTTTATCAAAGAAATTAAAATAACTAAACTTTTCTACAATTTGGAACAAAATGGATTAAGGTGAACAAAATGGCTGCGGTTTGTTTCTTGAAATATTTTGAGTATGTGGGGGAAGCATTACTAATGAAAACACCAATTCACAAATACGCAGTCCTGCAGTGTCTTCTTGTGTTTTACCAACCAAACGTCGCTAAAATTATTTTACACTCGCTGATAAAAGTAAAAATACCCTCGGATATTTGTAACTTTATCAACTCGTGGTGATATATTTGATATCAAAAGACATTCTCTATTTATTTCACAAACACTTAAACCTGGATAGGCAAACAAGCCTAGTTGCGTATATAAACGCCGCTCCAGAACATAATTACAATAGCTAGATACATAAATGAAATAATTTAACACGTTGACTGCCTATCACGAGTATAACCGTAGTATCAATTCTGGCCCGAATGTGCCACTACGAGTTATCTCGTAGCTACATCAGTGGTATTTTAAAACATTTTATTATAAAACAAGTCCCAATATTCTTTCCCAGTACTATTCGTTTGTTGACACGTTGACTGCCACCACGAGTGCACTCGTAGTATCAATGTCCGGCCCATTTTGCCACTACGAGTTATCTCGTAGCTATATTTGTGGCATTTTAAAACAAGTTTCACATGTTGGTCATATAGGCACAAGAACGAAACGTCTCCTGGCGTTCTTTGTTACCGCCAGGAGACGATTGCGAATGAAAACGCAAATTCACAAATACGGAGTTCACTATATTTTCTAACTCTAACAATATCCTATTATATACTTCAGCGTCAATATTGAAGGATCACCAAGGTAGGTATAGTGTCAAACATGAACTCATCCAAACCACTGACTGACTGAGTTTGGTTTTACGCCGCTTTTAGCAATATTCCAGCAACATCACGGCGGGGGACACCAGAAATGGGCTTCACACATTGTACCCATGTGGGGATTCGAACCCGGGTCTTCGACGTGACGAGCCAATGCTTTAACCACTAGGCTACCCCACCGCCCCTCATCCAAACCAACGGCAATGGGTCAGTAGATATAAATTTCATTCTACAGCACAGACGACTCCTCCTCACATATTCTACAGCACAGACGACTCCTCCTCACATATTCTACAGCACAGACGACTCCTCCTCACATATTCTACAACACAGACGACTCCTCCTCACATATACTACAGCACAGAACATTGATCGAGAGGGATACGCGTATGTTTGAAAGAGACGTGTGATATCTACAGCACAGACGACCCCTCATTCTACAGCACAGAACATAGATCGAGAGGGATACGCGTATGTTTGAAAGAGACGTGTGATATCTACAGCACAGACGACCCCTCATTCTACAGCACAGACGACTCCTCATTCTACAGCACAGACGACCCCTCATTCTACAGCACAGACGATCCCTCATCCCTCATCCCACATTTCTTCCTAGAAGAGTTAATGATTGATTTTAATGAGAAAATTATTTATCATGAATGGATGTTTCCCGTTATATTTGAATTACGGTTTGTTTAGTGTCACAACTATTGGAACAGTTATGAAAGGGAGGCGTGACTGGTTGATTCTCAGGGGTAAATGTTGAAAGTGCATGCATAGGCGGTGTCTAGGTGACGTCGGCGTGTTATTTGATGACTAACAAACTTGACTAACTTCGTCTTCATCTGAATAATTATCTGAGTTCAATCCTCTTACCAAGATCAACAAATCATACAATGAGAGGACTGACACACAGAATTATCTCGTTATATATCTAAAACCCAAGGTTAACCTTTGTCATTGTAAGACTTCTATCAGACACCCATAGCCGTTATTGTCCTATCACTCGCGGGGGGATAACATCTACACTGGTGGTGGTGAACTGGAATGAGAGACTAATTGAAACCCACGAGGTGTTAAAGTTTTTCGGTTTGTTCTTGGCTGAGTTGAGTTTCCATAATAGACACAAACATTTAGCGATTTTGTTTCAAGACACATACACGCTCTAGTCCATCACGACTCCGTCTCGTGGTAGTAATTTCGCACACTGAAATTCGCCTTGTGTCATCAGTAAGAGAAACGTTGCGTCACGTTCATGCACCGGTTTTCTCATTATCCTATTGTGTCAAAGTGGTGTCAAGTAGCTTGATCTGTAGGTCAATATGGTTCGCTTTGTATTACTGTCTTTAGAACTGAGATGTGCAAGCCCCCCTCCCTGTTACGTTTCAGTAGAATTGGTGTTGAAAAGAATTTGTGAGTACCGCGCCAGTTCGTTTAAGTGTGCATACGTGCTACATCATCAATAGCTTTTAACATATTTAAGGGTTTGCAAAATTCCTTTACATCTTAAAGCGCACCACTGCACGCAACGGATATAGTTGGAATATTTCATGTAATGGGTGCTCGCGTTACATTTAATGCTACAAAGACAGAGTACGAACTTAACATTGGAAATAATAACACTTCAGATTTTATTTTAGATTTTGAAACAGTTTCCAAAGTAAAAGCGATATTAATCGACTTTCTCCGAGAAGCTAGAAATTTTAAAACAAAGACATACAACGTAACGACGTGTTTTTTGTTGAGTCATATTATACAAAACTTCCATTTCATTTTCGATCGCTTATTTGAATCACTTTCCATTCAAAACACAGACACTAGTTCTGTTGTCATATTGGATAACGATGACATGAGAACTATTGTTGAATATCTGATTAGAGCCGATGCTATAGTGGAGTTACATCGGTTCAAAGAAGAGTTTAAAGATAACTCATAGAAGGTGAGTATATTTATTATTTATATAAATAAGATGTTTCAGTACCCTATCTCTTTTCGTGAGCGTGAACAACTATTAAGAATTTCTACTGAGAACGAGAAAATTCACAAAAGTGTTCTTGCTCTCACACTTTTTATATCTCCCACATCGCGATAGTGTAGGATAATTTCATATTTATTGCTATATACTATTATTGCTAAGATGTGGGAAAATACCGCTGTGAACTTAAGGATAATATATTGTAACAGGTTACCGTCTACATTTAAATAAATCATGCGTATTACTTTAAGGTGTTAAGATTTAAAGTTCCTTTGACAATATCTCATCCATATCGTACCTAAACACATTGTTTAACTAATGTAACTTAAAACGTATTCTGCACAAGTTTTAAAATATATGTACGTTTAAAATGAGTACTACTAGCATCATAATGTCTTATTAAGATGGACGGCATCTCTGTAGTTATTCTGTGAAGTAATCTAAAACGATATATGAAAGGTGCTTGCAAGTCGTTTCTCCGAGGAAACACGTGATCACCCAACTCACACAGCCATTGTTCGCGACGTATATAAACACACACACACACACCTCATCAGTCTTACCCACTCACGACAGGGTACACACCAGCAATGAATAGTATTGATATAATTTATTATTCGGATGGTGAGTGGAGTTTGAAAATTTCGGAAAAAACATCACCATTTGAAGCCATTATCTTAAATCAATTTTCTGCCGAAATCGTTTATAATTATTTAGGAAAATATTTGAAACGGGCAAGAGTAAGTGAGGTTGTCACTATTGGTATAAATTTTAAAATTTTCTTTCCAAAGTTTTCCCAAAAACATTTTTCTGGTGTTGTCCTACTGTGCCACGGAGGTTTAACATTTATCTTGACGAAGTCGGAGATTGACGTACTTTTAATGAAAGTTTCCTCCTGTTTGTAAGGTAAGAAAATCGTTTTGTGTTTAACCAGAATGTGTACGTGCAATATCCCTCACTCACATTCCTTTCTTGTCGCCGACACGAGACGGTGTGTCGCCACTGTCTTTGATCTTTGAACATCATGTGTTACATTGTTGCTGTTTTCACGTGCATTATTCTCGCGCGTGTACGTGGGTCGTATTTCATTGGTTGATTGAAATCAGTCAATCAAAATGTTTATGGTATAATAGGTAATAACTCGAATTATCCTTTCATTCAAGCAACAACAAAAAATGATTTGTTTGATGCTGTTTGCGTTGAGCAGAATTGTATCTAGCACCGAAGTTGTCAACCGGTGTCATGTTCGATATCATGATGTGTTGGACTGCGGTCCTATCGGGAAAAGCACCTTGACACACATCCACGGAGACCCTTATCCAACCGTTAAAACGATTGTCCTCCATGGACGAGAAGGACATATCGTTCTTGATGTGACATTGTTCCCCTTGTTGCAAGTACGTATCAAATTTACCTTACTGTTGATGGTGATATCAAATGTACTTTAAGTTAATAACGATGCTATTTCATTTTGATACACTTGTGAATAATTAACTTCACTGATTGTATGTTTCATGTAGCAAGCGAATGTTTCGTTGATGACACTCACATATGTGAAATTATTTTGCAGCTCATCAGAGGAGGCGAGACAAGCTGCGGCGACTTGTTTCACCTTCCACCATCGCGAAAGGTGATTGTCAACGATCAGTCTTGCTTAGGTATGTAACACCACTTATAACCTTGTCCGTTACTGTTTTCTGCAGTATAGTATTTTACAATCACTGTGTTAAACATTTGTTATCGCACGTCTCTTTCAAACATACACGTACCCCTCTCGATATATGTTCTGTGAAAATATTTGTCATTATAAAGTTTTTGTCATGTTTTAAGTAAACGTTATGCATCAATATAAAATCCTTCTAGACAGGTACGAGCCGCTATTTGGTTATGGGATTGACATGGTTTAACAATATTTTATGTTCGTTTTCACTACTAAATTCACTTGCAGTTAGTCGCTTGCAAGTGTGTGTGTGTGTGTGTGTGTGTGTGCGTGTGTGTGTGTGTGTGTGCGTGCGTGTTTTATTTAATTTTTATTTTGATCAATTTCAGTTGACACAACCTCTTCAAACGTAATTATGTTCACTCCTAACTCCACTAATGCTAATACCACTGTAACCCCTAGTACCACAAGCAGTCCTAACAGTGCTACTCCTATCCCAAGCGATACACCTACTATTCCTACAACGTCCCCTACCTCTATTAATGCAAATAAAACTACTTCTACAAATGCTTATTTTACCCCTCCTCATCTAAAACAGTATCTGCGTTTACCTCCACTACTACGAACAGTCTAACTAGTACTACCGTCTTCCCACCCACCACTGCTACTCCTACTACTGTTACTGCTGCTACTACTACCCCTACTGTAATAGATAATACCACCGTCGCCTCTACCGTCACACCTAACATATCCATAACACCCACCACTGCTACCGCTACTACTACTACTACTACTACTGCTACTACTACTACTACTAGTGCAATAGATAACACCACCACCCCCTCTACCATCACGCCTAACATATCCATAACACCCACTAGTATTAAAAACTCTAACGTTTAGCTTGTGATAGCGATCTCTCTAAAACCTTCCTCAAACTTTGTTATACTTATGGATGAATTTACTCACGCGTACACCAAGCCAACTTCACACTATGGGAGTCTGTGATATAAATAGATTACTTTGTAATGTAAGTGTGTATAGTCTAAGCATGGGTTTTTTCCAAGGTATTCGCACATCAGTTTGAAACACACATCTAGCGCAACGTCACTACCCCTGATGATGTTGACTAATCACGTTCCTTTCCATCGCAATATTTCTTAACATTAATATTCTGTTC